TCGATCAGTTTTTTGCCAGCAAAGACCAAAAATTTTATGAGCGTGGAATTATGCTACTACCAGAAAGATGGCAAAAGGTGTTGGACCAGAACGGTCAATATATAATTTAATAAAGTATTTGTTTATTATACGAAAACTTTGTTTCATTTCCACAAAAAAAAACGAAATGACTTTCCGAACAACCCGATATGTGACGTCTCACAAATGTGACCAGCTGTGACAAGAACGGGGAATGGGTTAAAAAATCATGAAATTTATGGATGGTCCCTTAGGTGCGTAAAAGAAAATTTCCGAGAATGTTGAATGTGTAGCAGAAGGAAGTTCGACTCAACCGTAAATATCTATGTTTAGTTAAGTCTCACAAAAGTACCTAGATTTACGTTTCATACATGTGGGAGGATAATAAACGCGTTTCTTTATTTTTCAAGGATAATAAAAAGAACTTAACATCTCAAACTTTGTCGCACAAAATTTCACGAATATCCATGTATTCTTTTGTCGTACGTTTTAGTCACGCACGCGTGAGCCGTCTGACCTGTTGTTGTGCACTTTTTTTTAAATAAACCTAGAGTGCCAAGACCTTGAGTGTGATATATGCAGAGATGAGATTTATTTGAAATACTGGCATTTAAAATGCAAATTCAAAATAAAAAATACCTATCTTTATCTTGTATTTAAATACTTTTTTAAAAAAAACATTTTATATTTTATTTAAAATAATGAATGACAGTTGTTCACATTGGCCATTGAAGGTATTAGAAGCTGAAAAAGGTGACAAAGAGACATTCCATGAATGCCGTATCATTCTTTAACTGAAGAAAGCCCAAAAAATTCTAAACTCCTTGGAAATGGATAATCTAAATAAAATATTGGATTGATATTGTTTTCCGGGTTCAATGTCATGGTCCATGGAACTTTGAAGTTCCAAATTGATATCAGCACCTTTAGGAAGAAACTACGAAATTCTACAAATTACGACAAAACAGCCCGCAAAACAATATCGAAGCTGTTTAAAACTGAAAACTACAAGATATTGTGGTGTACTAATAATTACCTATAATCCAAAATCCTTAGAAAACGATTCGAAAAACTTCATTTATTTGATGAACGCAAAGCTAAAGAAATTATAGATTCCATTTCTCTCTTTTATTACAATGTGTAAAAGATCGGAAACAAAATGAGGTTGTAAATATTTTGATATAAAATGATTGTAATTGATTTTACATCAATAAATTTATTTGCAACCCCAAACTATTTTGGCATTAGTATTTTTTTTTTCGATTTAAAACGGGTGACAAAGGTAAACAAGGAAGCACATAGAAAAATTATTTGTTGCTGAACTGAAGAAACTATAACTGTCGCTTGTTCGCAATTTTTTCCATCCACAAGTGGTTACTTCTTTTCTTGAATACCGAGGTATTTTCGTTAGAATATTTGACATTTAAAAACAATTTAAAGGATATGCAATTTTGTTCCCCGTTGGTTTATGCAATTGTCATTGTTTAGTAATGGATTCGCTGAAGTGGACATGTTCACTGCTGTTTCCATTGTCCTTTGAAGCAGTGGTAACATTAACAGTTAGCCTTTCAAACTGACATTTTCTGTGGTGTTTATGAAGTTAGTTTTTCTCATTACACACATGCATGTAATGTCAAGCGCTTTCGACTCTTTTGTTAAAATCAAAAAATCAAAAGGAAAATAGTTTTTCATATTTAAATGTATAGATATTAAGTGTTGAAATAAATTATTTGTGGACATGCACATGATAGGGTTACAGATTTAGTTACTTAAAAATTTTTGATAAAGGCTACATTTCTCAAATATTTTACATTGATATGCCTAGAAATTGAAGGGCAAAACGGATTAATAACAATTTTGAAAGCAACTATCTCCTCACTAATGTCTACTAAATTTTAAACACATTTTCGCTCTATGAAAGCAGATAAAAAAATTATTATTATGAAGCTCATTATTTCTATTTTCAGGTCATAAACCTATGTCCACTCTTGAAATTTCATATTGACCGGTGAAAAACTCTCCGAGCAAAATGGCATACAAACAGACAGGACGAAAGTAGTTAATGTTTTCTAGTAATAAAAACAAGATTTACTTCCTTCAATATAGTTTCTTATAGCCTTATTTGTAAAGATTAACTGAAAATACAGTAACGTCCTTAAAAAGATTCTGAAAGTTAAACAATGTTACAGATACTGGGTTTAATTTTGGTTGACGAAAAAAAAGTTTTGCTGTACAATACATCGAATATTAATATTGGTGCAACTAGGGAATTTTCCTAGAAGATGCAACGACGGTGATTTCGATGAATTTGTTAAACGGGAGATTACATTTGAACTAGTGTTGGATGTCAAACTAATAATTTTGAAAAAGTTGATTTACATTTAACCCAACGTAAGTATGCATATATGTATGTACATACCTGCTCATACACTACCTTTAGTATAAAAGCATCACAAATCCTAATGTTTTCCCTGTGGCAACCCTTTGAATGTTGTATTTACCTAAAGCCAACAGCATCAATTTTCATTTACATTTTCTTTTGATGTGTGCTCAGCGTCCAAAATACTTTTTACTTGTTTGAACGCAGAATGTCAAAACTTTGCCTGTGAACTCCCGAAGTTTACCTGCACAATCATTTCAGAAAAAAATGTTTTCAAACCCAATCAAGAACTCATCTTTCTCTTTTGGGAATGAATGTACGCAAAAAGCGTTTCTTAATGATCTAACCGCTTTCGTTTTAAGGCTTATCTACCTACAAATTGAAAATACGACCGAAATTGGAAATGACAAAAAATAAAGTGATGTTGTTTAATAAGACAGGTTTTTAGAGAGACAAAACTCCTAATCCCTTATTTTCACCGAAGTTTCCCATGCATTTTTACGCACCATCATTTTGGTAAGGAGACGTGGAATTTTGATTATGGGCTAAACACGTAATAATAATTATAAAAGAACTCAGCAATTGAATTTTTCAGTTTGTTTTTATAATTGTCTTATACATATAATGCCGGTCGTGTTCGATTTTTACGTCTCCTTCCTTAATTCCTGTATTATACTATGACCAAAACATTTTTATTTATCAAGTAGATTTTGTAATATTATTGATTTGATTGAGTTCGCATGCTTTAGTAGCTGTTGTATTATTACACGACCTATCTGTAACCAAAAAAAAAAGAAATAAATACGATAAATAAGAAAAGTTCTCTACTTTTATAGAAGCAACATTTTGCTCTTTTTTTGTTGTAAACTTTTAACGTAAATTGTAACTTCGAAAAATATGCGGCACGAAAAGGAATGCACCATAAAAAGAAAGCTGTTCGCATTTTTAATTAAGTTTTCATTCTTCTTCTTCTACCAAAAGACGATATACTTTAGAAGAATTTGCTTCCACGGATAAAGCTTATAAATTTTTATATACGCAGACTAGTTTTACGTTCGTTTTTTAAACCAATTCGTTTATCTTACATTATTTACCTACTGTTGGTTAAACATATTTTTAAGGATTAAAATATCCTATTTTAAATCAAAAATAGCATTTGATAACTATAGCATCTAACCGTTAATGATGTCCACATAACATCATCGTAAAAGTAATTTTTTCATCAGTGATTTGGGTAGGTTAGGTATATGAGGGTGATTCAAATTTTCCTTTTTTTTGCTTTTTTCTCTAAAAAATTTATAGTTGCAAGTCTATATTATGTGAACAACTTTAAGGAGAGCTCGTAATATTGATATCAGGATTTTAGTATACAACCTCTCATTTTTTTTTCGACATTTTAAGTTCTACTTACTACGATGTTGTGTTTTTCCGAAAATGTTTTATTTCTCATCAATAACAATAGAAAACACGTTTTACGGATATTTTTGTATTTTTTCATATAGCTCCTGCGAAATTTTCTTTCTTACTTATGCCTGCTATTTTTTTTATTTGCACCGCAAGAAGTGTTCACGGAAAATTTTTTTCATAAACAAGGTCTAAACCGCTAGCTTGCCTACACTTCTCGTTCTTTTCCTAGGGAAGACTGTTAAGTCCAATGAGTCGTGAATAATATNAATATCAGTTAATATTAGTTGGACTAAAGTTTCAACTGTTCAACCTGTCTATAAGGAAAAGAAAGCAAAAAGAGAAATTTTGAATCTCTCAAACAAATATAAAATAACAAAATTTTATTTTTTAAGAAGCTCTGTTTTGACTGGTGAATAAATAATGAAAATGATATTGTTCGGCCAAACCTTTTGTAGGTATATACATATAATTTATGAGGTTCCCTTAACCGAATTTGCTACACTGTTCGTCTTCTTTTTAAAGCTACCTTATTAAATTATTCTGACCAAGAAAGCTTACACTAAATAGTTAAAAATTATACTTCCGCAAACCATTTAGGAGTCAAAAAGGGAAGGTGTTAAAAAAAAAGTTCCTTTTGTTGTCTTTCTTGTATCTAAAACTGTATGGAGGTCACACTACAAATTTTAAACCAAAGGCTAGTTTTTATAATAAAATTCAAGCACTCATTTTCTGTTTTTCGTAAAATGTGGAGAGGAAGTTTTTGGTTCATTGTAATAATTTAATTTAGGATTGAAAAGATTGTTAAAGGTGTATGTTTGGAGCGCGGTGCTGTACGAGTGCGAAACGCGAAAAATAAAAGTGTTCGTAATGTGGTCTTACAGGCGAATGATGAAGATATCGTGAATAGGGAAGGTAAGAAATGAGGAAGTATTGAAAAATAGGAAAACAATTACTATGGAAGTCGATAAGAAATATGCGAGATGTGATAGTAGGAGATGGTTCATAGGGTTAGTTAGAAACACATTAGAAACAGAAGCAGGAGTTAAGAGGTGCAGAGGTAGATCTAGATAACATTAGAGCTCACAAATAGTTAAGGATGTGAGATATTCTAGTTTTAGGGAAATACGAAGATTAGGTCAAGATAGGAAAAAGTGGAGGTGCGCGATTGACGACTTTATGATGATGATGATGATGATGTAATAATTTTTAATAAATGACTTTTTGTACTTTATAAAATTGATTTTCTATTCTTAAAAACTTATTTTACTAATTGTATAGTATGTGCCGTTTGCATACTTTATATTAATGAAAATACCGTTAAGAAGATTTTTGCAAATTAGAATTATTCAGTTAATGTTCTAGAAAACGCCAGAGATAATGGAATTAACAAGAGGTTGTATTAAGCCTTGACGGACTACTTCTACAATGCTAGGAAGCACTAAATTTGTGGATTATCAGAAATGTTTTCTCCTTCCTTTATTCTTCAAAATTTGGCAAAGTAATAAATATTAATAAGGAATGCGACTGCTAATATCCATTGATTAGGTAACGTCTGACTAACAATAAGTAGAATAAAGAGGAATGAAATTTCCGTTTTTCAACGTTTCGTTGTTTTATAATATTGTATTTATTAAACAAAAAATAATGAATAGATAAGGCTTTCTAACGCTTGGAACTTAATGAAAATACAAACGCTTTTAGTTGCAGACAACTTTTTTCATTTCCACTGTAATTATTTGAAAATACAGTGTAATTCTTGTGTCCCTGTTCTACTGTTACTGCATATTTAAAATTTATTTACTGCGCATATCTTGTTTCAAAAGGAAGACAAACTGTGGTTCACTAAAATGTGTTTATTGAGTTTTATTTTGTATGCAACATATTGCAATATTTACAATGGTTATTTTCATTTATTTATGGAGTTGTTTATTGCTAATGTGCACTCAACCTTGTTGTAGAGAGAGGCGTTATTACACATAGTTTGTGATCGACGAAATTTGTGTAATTTTCCCATCGTAGCCAGCAATAAATAAAACATACGCCACAATAACCGTTTCATAAAATTAATATTGCTCGATAAAGATGATAAGTAATTATTTTTTCTGGTGCGTAAAGTAATTGAAGTGTCAGTTACGGAGGATGCTTTTTCCACTTCATTTCATGCCGACGGATACGTATGATATTTTCGACAAATGCATTGCGTTATATATATATATATACATAAATAGCGGAGGACGAGCTTTTCATTTTTGACAGGATTATAACTACACACGACCTATCTGTAACCAAAAAAAAAAGAAATAAATACGATAAATAAGAAAAGTTCTCTACTTTTATAGAAGCAACATTTTGCTCTTTTTTTGTTGTAAACTTTTAACGTAAATTGTAACTTCGAAAAATATGCGGCACGAAAAGGAATGCACCATAAAAAGAAAGCTGTTCGCATTTTTAATTAAGTTTTCATTCTTCTTCTTCTACCAAAAGACGATATACTTTAGAAGAATTTGCTTCCACGGATAAAGCTTATAAATTTTTATATACGCAGACTAGTTTTACGTTCGTTTTTTAAACCAATTCGTTTATCTTACATTATTTACCTACTGTTGGTTAAACATATTTTTAAGGATTAAAATATCCTATTTTAAATCAAAAATAGCATTTGATAACTATAGCATCTAACCGTTAATGATGTCCACATAACATCATCGTAAAAGTAATTTTTTCATCAGTGATTTGGGTAGGTTAGGTATATGAGGGTGATTCAAATTTTCCTTTTTTTTGCTTTTTTCTCTAAAAAATTTATAGTTGCAAGTCTATATTATGTGAACAACTTTAAGGAGAGCTCGTAATATTGATATCAGGATTTTAGTATACAA